ATGAATTCTAAAACAAGCAGTAACACAATCACATTTACAATAGCACTAAAAAGAATAAAATACTTAGGGATAAACTTAACCAAGGAGATGAAAGACCTATATGTATCCATCCCCCAAATGGGTGACTCCAGCTCAGCCTCTCATGCTGCAGAAGCTGGTACGGGTGGCAGTGAGTTTCCTACGGAGGTGACTCATCATTCATAACATGGCAACTGAACCTTCTGCTCCCATGAGGAGAATGTATTTTAAACTTGGGAAGAGTGGTAATTCTGGGATATTCCACATGTTGTCAGCTTGAACCTTCTACAGACACAGGGCCTCTCCCTTGTGAGGAGGAACCTCGCTGGTATGTGTGTGGCAGGGGGGAGGGTTGCTCTCCCTATCAGCTGAAAGGTGGTGGGCATGTACCAGGTATGTGTGCAGGATCGTGTCCTGCACATGAACACCTGTGAGAACAGAACAGGGATGTAACAGTGGGAAACATATTCTCCAGGAGGTGGTAACCAAAAGGCTTGGCTCTACAAAAGGATTCTGGGTATAACAATCTTAGTAGAGCCTGCAGATGACTCTGGCTTCATAAAATCCTGCCCTTACTTGCCACTCACCACATCCCCAAATCAGAAGGGCCAGCCCTTTTCTACCTAGGATACCTCACCAGCAAATAAATGCTACAGGACCTCAGAAGCCTGTGATGCTAAGGATGAAGACTCTAGTCAGAGAATGTGCTCAGTCCCCACGGTGGGGTTCTGGAAAGCACATGGGCCTGCTCAATACAGTCCCCAATCCCTGGGAGTGGCTGTCTATGAGAGGTAAAGGTGCAAGTGGCTTAGGCACATTGACTCCCCCTTGAGGAAGATAGGCCCTCTCATATCTGCAGTGGCCACGTGCATCGGAGACCAGCATGGCTGCACAGGTGAGAACTGAGCACACCCAAGCAATGTCCATGTGAATCCCTTCCCCATTCCATGCCAGTCTTCCCCAGACAGAAAGGTTCAGGGTCCCGATGCTTGACTCTTCTAAGGCTCAAAATGGGCCTTAGACCCAAGACTTAATTGGCTTTGCTTATTTTAAGTACTTGAGTTCAGCCCAATCCTCAACCTTCAGAAAAACTGGCACAGGTTGGGGACTTTGTTTTTCCTTTTCTTTAATTTCAGAATACAAGGATACAAATGATTTGGTTACATAAATTGCTTTGGTACCATTCCCATCCCCCAGATAGTGTGCATTGTACCCATTAGGTGTGATTTTACCCATCCCCTCCTCCCCACTCCCACCCGCCCGACACCCGATGAATGTTATTTCCATATGTGTACATAGGTGTTGACCGATTAGTTCCAATTTAATGGAGTACACGTGGTGTTTGTTTTCCATTCTTATGATACTTCACTTAGAAGAATGGTCTTCAGCTCCATCCAGGTTAATACAAGAGGTATTAATTCACCATTTTTTTATGGCTGAGTAGTACTCTAGGGTATGCATTTTATTAATCCACGCATGTATCGATGGACACTGGGTTGTTTCCACATCTTTGCAATTGTGAATTGTGCTGCTATAAGCACTCAAGTGCAGGCGCCTTTTTAATAGAATGTCTTTTTTTCCTTTAGGTAAATACCCAGCAGTGGGATTGCTGATCAAATGGTAGTTCTACTTTTAGTTCTTTGAGGAATCTCCATACTACTTTCCATAGAGGTTGTACTAGTTTGCAGTCCCACCAGCAGTGTATGAGCATGCCTATCTCTCCACGTCCATGCCAACATTTGTTGTTTTGGGACTTTTTGATAAAAGCCATTCTCATTGGAGTTAGGTGATATCATAATGTGGTTTTGATTTGTATTTCCCTGATGATTAGAGATGTTGAACACTTTTTTCATGTTTGCAAGTTGGGGACTTTAATGTTAAGATCACCAATATTGACATCCCAAGGAATCTCAGGTAGATTGATGTCATTTCATAGCAGATACAACCCACGCAGGGGCTGCCGAAAGGCCACCCTTGGATTTCTCCGGCCTGTTTTAAACTTCAAGCTGAGCCACGATTTCATGCGTGTTTGTTTCCAGCACCATCCCACCCATCACCACCTCCTAGAGGATGTAGTAACCTTATCCATATGGAAGATCAAATCCTATTCACACACACTTTTGAAACACTTATCCAGAGTCTCCACAAAAACCTGGATGATGTCCATGATCCCAACTTCACTCTCTGATGAATCCACACAAAACACAAAGTAGAGGGTAGACTAGTGTTGGTAAATCAGTTTGTAGTCAG